TCTTTCCCAGATGTTCACAGAAGGAGAAAAGGAACTTCATTCTTTAATAAGGAAGGTGCGTCCTGGAGTAAGCAAGACTTGTTTTAGTTTGAGAAAGTCTAGTTAAGCAGAATTCATGTGACAAAGCTTTCCCTTCAAAGCTGCAACTACAGCGGAGCCTCCAATATACCCATCTTAAGCCTTCCCCTCCAGAGACGGAGACATGCTTTGGGCTTAGATGCCATGTAAGGCTTTTGTTTGTTTTTGACTTGGCCAAGAACACTGCAGGGAGAGGGGGCAGAGTATGAACAACCAAGACAGACCAGAGACAGAAGTTACCCCCTGTGTTCAGATGAACAGAAAGGAAGAACAGAAAAGTGGCCATTAATGTAACTTGGCTCTTTTTTCTCAAGTTTGCCCAAGAGAGGGACCAGTCTGTAGGAGGACAGAGGAAAGCTCCTCTAGGACAATGTTTCAAGCGGAAAGCACTGACAGCTAAGAGTTATAGGAAGCATGAATCACAGAGGAAATAGGCACTTAAGTAGCTATTGCCAACTAGGGGATGAGCTCTGCCTATTCCCTGCAGCTCAGAACCTACCTGGTAGTTGGCTACCTGAGTTAGGAATCCACTTTCTAGAACCCAAAGCCTCAAAAAAATAGGACCCAGAAAATTCAGCCACTCCAAGACCAGAAAGTGAATTCTGAGTGTCTTAAAGAACATTGTTAAGTTTGAGCATGCTTCTGTGAAAGCCACCGACTTCTGTACATGCTTCTCTGCATCACTGCTAGGTCTTGGTCTGGTTCTGGTTCTGGTTCAGCCAGGCACTTCAAGAGATGGTAAATTATTCTTCCTCACTGCTCCCTGCCAACAGACTGATGTCACAGAGTATTTTCAAAGCTGTGACAGTCACAGGATACAGTGATACAGATGTCCTCACAAGGAAGGGACAAACTATGGAATTTTCCTAAAGTCTTGCAAAAAGGGAGCAGTGAGGGACCCAGCTAAACATTAAGTGGGGAATATCCTCCAAGAAACAAACAAACAAAACTAAGTCCAAATAAAGGCCATAAAACCATTAGGAACAAACTTTCTTGCCAAAACAGTCTTGCCTTATTAAGTTAGGCAAAAAAAACCCCAAAAACCCAACTTTTATTTTCCTCTTTGAAAGCATAGCAAAGACCAATGGCCGAGCAGCAAGACCTTCTGTGTTAGTTCAGTGTGTCCTCCTAACAAGAAGAGTTACACAAAACTTACTAATTGTGACAGCATAAAATGTTGGGTTTGAAGTAGGATTTAGGCTTTTTAAAAAATTTAGTGCTAAGCAAAATAATATTTTCCCCTGTGTCCTAACAATGAATATAGGACAGGGAAGTATATGCCTCTTCTTAGGAAAAGAAAACAGGTTTAAAACTACTATGGAAGATGGTTGGGAGTGCAATGTTCCCTTGGTGTCCCATTTGACACTTTCAGTCAGTGATGCACAGCCTTAGACATACTTTACAATTCCTGAAGTGCTCCAAAGACCACCTAGGCTAAGATCATCCCTTGACCAATCAAATATAGTTTCTGATCTATTCCAAAACTCCAAAACAAAACAAAATTCACTAGATCTATACTGGAAACTCTCTCCCTCTCCATGATAAGCCCAATGGCCTGAAAACAGTGGGCAACATCACATCTCCCAAGGGAAAGTCCTCTTCTTTCTGGTCACTTCCTTCATACCATGCTTGTCTTGGTCTGGTATAATCTGGGATGAATAAAATACTTTTAGGAGTAGAAGGGACCTTGCTGTTTTATATGGCACATGTATCTTTTCATGTACGTTAAATCTTCTTTGCACTACCTAATACGTGAAGGTTAGAAATCCATATCCTGGGGCTCCTCAAGATGGTGTTGAATCCAGCCCTTCCAGAGCTTAACACAGGATTTCTATCTTCACAAAACACAATGAAAATCTCTTACTAAAAAGATATCTGAAAGAAAAGTGGATCCTGTTTCCAAAACTATTTTGAAAGGAAACCAAAAAGTACATCTTTGTGTTCTTATTATGTTCATAAGTGAGTCCTAGATCTGACTCATGAATCTCTGCTTGGGGATGACCTGAATGATTACATTGATGCTCTGTAACTTTAGTCTGGCATTCATTTCCAATAAAAACTAAACCCAGTTCCTTTTGTCTTGTGTCATCTTAGGAAGTCAATTTCACTTTTTCTTTCAGTCCATTATGTTGAGTTAAAAGAAAGTCATGAGCCACAATTCAGAAGTAGACATTTACATTTGTGTTTTATGAAAATCACAGTAAATAATTAGAAACATAAATAGCAATATATATATATGAAATGGATTTTCCTATCCAATGTGACTATTAATCTTAATTGGCATTCCAGAGGGGTTATAGTTACATGAGTAAGGTAATGAGTACATTTCCTATTGAGCATTGTTACCTCCTCCTCTGTACATTTCCAATTCTTAAAAACAAAAACCCAAAGATTGAAAGGCTCATAGATCTCATTGCAGAGCATTCTAAATTTGGTGAACTTGTTGGTGTAATTGTTCATCAGTATCTAGGTCCCTTGGGGAACTGGTTACAGAATCCTCTAAGAAGATCAGAATCCTCAGATGATAATGTTTCTTATGTAAAATGGCACAGTATTTGCATATGTCGTACACATATGTTTTAATGTACTTTAAGTTGTCATTGCACTACCTAATACAAATAAAACAGTATTACCTAGGTGTTATGCTGTATTGTTTAGGGAATTAATATAAGGAAAAATCTGTATATGTTCAGGATAGATGCATGTTTTAAGCATTTTCCATCTGCTGATGGTGGAATCTGCAGCTATGGAACTCACAGCTATGAATGGCTATGTATCATTTTTCTTGTTTTTTTTTCCACTTTACAAAATGTAGGCAAATATTTATCCATTATCTAGGTACAACAGTATTTTACTTGGGGGAAGGATGGAACTGAGAGGCCAAAAGCCAAAATCTCATCACCAATTGAATCAACCATAGTAGGACCAAGAGGAAAGAGGCAGGAGATTCAGATTCATTTGTATCTTCTTAAGAAAACTTAAATTCACCATTTCCTCTGCAAAAAGGCAGTTAGAAGTGCCTTCACTGCCAAACTGCTACTCCTTTTCATCCCTCCCAACTCTTCATCAAGAAGCAGCCTATCCCTAGCAACCCTGAAGGGTGATGAGCAACCACAAGAAGAAGCATAGCCAGTCAAATGAGCCAAGAATTGAGGGAGGAAGAAAAGAGGAGGGGGGGAGAAGGAAAGGAGGAGGGAGGAAAGAATGGCCAATTGGGTCAGTGAGTTGGAGGGTAGAAGTCATGAGGCAGGCCATGGGCAAGTTCTGGCAATCACAGACTGCTGTTTTACTCCCAGCTAGGCTACTTCCCCAAGTACCAGGATGAATGTAAGAATGGAACAAGACCATGTGAGTGGTCATGTTTTCTACCAGGGTAGAAAAAAAGTCAGGACACAGGCAAGCCAAAAATTGGTGGGTGTCCAGCTCTTACTTCTTGGGTACTACTCTCTAAAGAGGACAAAAACCAGGCACATTTTCAAGAACTGGAATGACTGTGCATAATTTTTTATATTAGATTTTTAGCCGTCTGGATTTACTAATGAGGAAATTTTCATTCTGACTTGAGGGGATTCATAAGACTTGAAATGATTTAGGTTCAAGTTTGCACCGAGACTGAGCAGAAATAGACACTAGGGTAAACACCATCTGGCAAAGAACAGCAAGTTATTTCAGAACCTTCATGTGGATTTTAAAAGGAGAATGAGCAATTATACCTCCCTCCCCCAACTGGTCTTTCACTATCTCAAGCAGCAACAGGCACCTCCTTGTCGAAAGGCATACTTGTCTGAGGATGTTGCATAGAGTTTTTGATTCAAAATCATTGACATTCAAGTCTAGAAGGGTGACCTGGGAAACTTTATGCTCAGCTCAAAACATGATTAACTAATAAGGCATCACCTGGAGAAGCTCACAATAATAAGTTCTTACATGTTTACTCTACATTCATATTTTACAAAGAGTTTTTCCTAGACTTCAAGTTCCTGAAAAGAGGAGATGGATCGGGCTTACCTCAAAGGTATTCTACTAATTGAGTCACATTCCTAGCCATTTTTGCTTTCATTATTTTCAAACATGATCCCTCTTTTTCCCAGGGCCAGCCAGGACCATGATCAACTAGGATGACAAGTATATGCTATCATGAACTCAGCTTTTATTAGTTAAGTTTGAATCTTACAACCTTTCTTGCCTGGGTTAGCCTGAAGTTACGATCCTTTCAATCTTTGCCCTCCCAATAGCTAAGATAATAGGCATGATCCACCATGCTTGGCTTGCACCTGTTTTAAAACTGGAAAATACCCTGAATCACAAGCATTTAAAATTATTTAAAGAAACTTTTTACATTAAGATATATAAAGGAGATATTACTGAAGCACTGACTAATGTGAAATACAATATGCAATAAAGCATCTTTTAGTTTGTTATCCAGTTTTCACTAATCATGACTTTCTAACTTGATGCTGAGGGTTGTAAGTCCTCCAACATTTACAAAAAACTAAAATAATCTTGATTATTTTAGTGCTTATAGGATGCTAAATATCTGGCCAGTGGGGCACATCTAGATAGCTGCAGTATGCTGATTCAGTGAGGGGTTTATCCAAAGAAACATCACTTTAATTAATCGCCTTTGCCAAAAGCATCCAGAGGCTACAGCTGAAATTCAAAGTGCAACTATTAGCTGTAATTGAGCCAGTATACATTTTTCTAGTTAGCACTTATATATGGCTAACCTTGTCTTTTGCTCAGGGCTATCTGGTTCTTTAAAAGCTACTTTGCATGTGGCACAAGAACTCACTGGTAAAGGTGGTTTTATACTAGTAGAGATGTTACCAAATATCCAAAGCAACCAAAAGTATTTTAGAGAGAATAAATCTCTTCAAACTACCCCCATGCAAATTAAGAAGCATACTAGAACCCAGCCGTACCTTCGTGACAGACAGTTCCTTGGATTTAGATTCAAACAGGTGCTCCAGTCTGGAAGTATCCACCTTAATTGGTTCCAGTTTCGACCACAGGAATTCTCTGCAATGGCGGTTGTTCTTACAAGGCCATTCAAAGGGCCGGACTTCATTCCAGAACAGACGGATAGTCTTCTTTTTCTTAGTAAATGCAGGCTGACCCCTCGGTACCTGGGACCACCCTAAGCCCTGAGGAGCACTGAACACTGGAGGAGGAGGAGCCAATAAATTACTGGGGACTGGAGGGGGAGGCACACTGTCCAACAGGGGTGGAGGGGGTGGGGGTGGCAAACCCAGAAAGATGGGTGGGGGAGGGGGAGGAGGCCCAGGAGCTTCCCTAGGACCCAGGTCCATGTCCAGGACATCGACATCATCTTCCTCCCCTAGGTCGGTGAAATCCATGTCTTGAATTCTGAGCTCCCTTGGATTGGCCATGAGCTGGTCCCAGATGTAGTCAGATTCTGTCTTCAGTTGTGCGGGTGCCGTTTCTGGGCTCTTGTCATTGGACTCTGCATCAGGAGAGAGAGAACCTCTTCCCAAGTCCCCGTTGTTGAATTTCTCAGCAAATGCTTTCACACTGCCTCGGTTGTCCAAACAGCCCACATCCACCCTCCTAATGCTTTCCTCTGGGGCTTGAGAGTTGGCCTGCAGTGTGGATATCCTGCTGGAGAGGCTGGCCACTGCCTCCGCCTCCTGCTCTGTCCTCCCAGTCTCACCCTCAACCTTCTCCTCATCGTCGGTAGACTTTCTGTTATGGGCATACAGCATATCCAGCATGAACCGTTTGTTGGTGAGGATGTCGCCACACTGTCCATTTACACCTGCATCCTGAAGGCCTGTGGACCACAAACCTGAAAGCACATAGGGCAGAAGAAATAAGAAAGTTCAAGACGGTTTCATTTCTATGAGAAAACACAATTAGAAGGCTGGGCACATACAAGTGATTTCAGAGAAGACACTAAAACAAAGTAATCAAAGCAAAAGGTGGTCATGGTGATGACCTACCTGCTCCAGGACCCAAGACTCTTCCAGATGCAACATTGCTCCTGGTCATGTCAGCTAGTCAGAACCCACCCAGACATAGGTAGCCAGGAAACTGTGTCCTAACTATAAAGGAACAATAAAGGAGTAACAGCTCTCTGACCCATGGAAGGTTTTGGAGCAACTGTATGGTTACCTGTCTCTGCCCAGATTGCGATTGGACATCACACAGTCCAGGTCATAAGTTGTACTTCAAGTCCCTGCCTCCTTTGTCTCAAGTGTGCTTATTGCTTAGCAGTTCCCCCTTCTCCTTTCCTTCCCATGCTTCCCAAGCCAAAACCTTGTTTTCTCATTCAGCAGCTTAACAGACCAAGTCAGAAGAGATCTTCTACAGTCTCTGCTCTACCATGAGCCTCTCACTAGCAGCTGAATCCCAGGACACAGTCCATCTCCTGTGACTACTCACACACTGTCCCTCAACAAATCTGTGTCTGCATCAAGGAACCAATCCAAGGATTCTCTGTTCTGAATCTCCCAAGCTCCTCCCACTCGATCTTTCTCCTGACACAGACACAGGTGTAATAATACATCTCCATCTATAATAAAGCTTTTCGCCTTTCCTTTAATGCATATAATTGCTTCCAAGAATTGTTTGCCCAGTGTGTCTGATTTCTCTCTTTATTCTTTCCGCAACTAAGGTAACGGGTGCTTTTGCTGTCAATGAATTTCAAAACTACTCCTTTCACTGGTGCTAATAACTCATACCTGTCTGTAATCCTAGCTATTCAGGAAGCTAATTACCTGAGGACCACAGTTCATAACCAACCCAAGTAGGAAAGTTATGAGACTCATCTTCAATGAACCAGCAAAAAAGCTGGAAGTGGAGTGGTGGCTCAACTTCTAGAGTACCAAAATAAACTCCAGGCCTAGGCCTGAGTCAAGCCCCAGTACCAAGGCATCTTGTTGACTAGAGCTTTATGCTGGTCCCAAATTTTTCTGGCTTTTCTGGCTTTTCCTTGCCTATTCTACGTCCTTCATTTATGTCTTTTTTTTTTCCTTTGGTCAGTCGTAGGGCTTGAACTCAAGGCCTGGACACACTGTCCCTGAGCTCTTCAGCTCAAGGTGAATGCTCTACCACTTGAGCCACAATGCCACTTCTGGTTTTCTGGTGATTAATTGGAGAAAGGAGTCTCAGAGACTTTCCTGCCCAGGTTGCCTTTGAACCTCAATCCTTAAATCTTAGCTTCCTGAGTAGCTAGGATTATAGACATGAGCCACCAGCACCTGGCCCTCATTTATGTCTTTTAAAAAATCATTTTATTGTAGTCTACTTTGTCCTTTGGAATTTCTTTTGCTCAATAATCTACTTTATCTTATATGACTATTACATTTGTTTATAGCATGTATTTTTTTTAGTTTTCTACTTTAATTTTTTTTATTTTAAGGATACAGAGGGGTTACAGTTACATGAGTAAGGTAATGAGTACATAACATGCATCTTTTCTCAATTTTTAACTTTCAATCTTATATCATTATGTTTGTAAAGAGTTTTGTTGTGTAAAGAGTATGTAATTACTTTTTTGTTTCTTACTTCACTTTGGCAGTTGTTTTCTTAATGTAAAGGAACATTGAACTGTTAGGGTTTACATCTGCCATTTTACTTATCTTGTTCCTTGGTTTCAGTTCCTGTTCCTCCTCTTTTAATTCCCTGTGGGTTACTTAAACATTTCTTAGAAACTCATTGTGATTTCAATAGTGTTTCTAATTCTATGACTTCCTACTGTTGTTTTTAGTGATTAGGGATTACAACCTACTAATTTCCCCACATCAGACATTGTTTTGACCCTGTCATTTTTGTCTCCTCTTTCTTAGATTCCCACCAGTTTAAAAGTGGCCAAAAGGGCTCTATCTTCCGCATGTATTTCTTCTCTGTTCTGTTTACCTCACTGAACATTTCCTTTGTTGTCTTTATTACTGAGCATTGAGTTTATCAGTAAGAACTTTGCTTTATTATATTTTTTCAGTTCTATCAGTATGTATTTGCTTTGTTATATTTTTTAGTTCTATTAATTTCCCTTTGGATTTTTAAAAGTATTTTTTTATTTCTCTGATATTTTTTCCTGTGTTTCCTGAATTGGTAAAGCAACATTATAATGGCTGCTTCAAAATTTTTGTCACATTGGATGCCGGTGGCTCACGCCTGTAATCCTAGCTACTCAGGAAGCTGAGATCTGAGGATCATGGATCAAAGCCAGCCAGGGCATCTGTGAGACTCTTACCTCCAATAAACCACAAGAAAAACCAGAAGTAGCACTGTGGCTCAAGTGGTAGAGCGTTAGCCTTGAGCTGAAGAGCTAAGGGACAGTGCCCAGGCCCAGAGTTCAAGCCCCACGATCAACAGAAAAAAAAAAAATCTTGGTCATGTAATTCCAACATCTAGAGTATCTCCCTGGCATCTGTTGGTTGTCTTTTCCTATTCAAGTTGTGATTGTACCAGTTCTGGCTAAGTTACGTGATTTTCAATTTTGTTTTAGATATTTTGAGTATTATTTTCTAGCCTTTGGATCCTGCTTAATCTCTTTCAGCAGGTAGTCATCCTTTGTAGGAGTGGCATGAAGGACTTGATAGAGGTAAATATTCAGCAACCTGATGTGTACTATTACCACCTCAGCTAGAGTGTTTGTTGCATATGAGGTGAGAAGTTCATTTCCATTATTGGCATCTTCCTGGGAAAAGTAGTCTACTGACGTAGATGGCATCTTTGCCTCCAATGGGAGATAGCAGCTCAGAGCCCCATTTGACTCTAGGCTAGGGAAAACAGGGCTGACTAGCTCTACCTCCACCAATATTTTTACCTTATTTCTGACAGGTGAGGATAGAGGCAAAACTTGCAACACCTATCAGAGAAGGTGGCTAGATATCTCTTCATTCATTTATTCACTGATAATTTAGTGAAATCCTATTATGTTTGGAACACATAACTAAGAAGTGAGGAACTTGCAACGAAAAAGACAGATATCTCCATCCTTATCAAGCGGATACTTTAGAGTCACCAAAGGACAATAATACACAGTGTATCGATTCTAGGATAAAGCCTCTCACACGAACACCACAGAGAGAAACATGAAACAAAAATAAAACTACCCAACTGGAAAAAGTTGAGTTTCTTTCAAGGTCTACAAACCCATGTGTTAGTAACAGGTAAAGTCACTGGAAATGAGATTGGGAATGGTTTTAGTTGTCTTCAAAGTTCCTCTGTAATTTAACTGAGAATATTTTGAAAAGCAAAATATATTATGGCCAAACTTCCCTGACTGGGCTCCTAAAGGTGCTTGTGAGTATTGAGATTTGTGTGGAACCCATAATCTACACCAAGTAACATGAGAATGAAGCAAAAAAGTCTTTGCTAAGCCCCAATTCCTGAGTCTGTATACTTGGACAACACCCATATCGGTCGAAAGTCAATGGTCTTACACTAGGAACTGAGTCTCCATTTTTGGAAAGTTGTCCTTATTTGGAAGAATATTGCATAAACTAATCCAAGAAAGTTCTGTCTCTGGTCTTATTTTCACTAATCCAACTTGCTGATATGTTCTGATCCTGCTAAACACAGATATGATGGATTCCTGATACTATTTATAATACATAAACTATTTTTAAAAGACTAAGCTGTTCAAGTAAGATGTTACCTTACATCCTGTACAATGCCATAATTCCATTAAATGTGAACAATATAGACAGGATTTTAAGAGACTGTAATTTGATCTTTTTAAGAAAATAAATCATTAGTATATGTAACAGTAAATTCTCAGTGCAATCATTTCTGATATTTCAGTCCTTTCTTATTGCATTAAAGTGACTGGTAATAGAATAAAAACATGGTAGTAAATTCTAACTTGGAAAAAATGGAAATAGTAACTACTTTAAGCTCAGCCAGATAGGCTGACAGGTTTATAAGAGACAGTATGGTTCATTCAATTGGACCTAACAAGCCATGAAAGGGTCATGGCTCTTACTGGAAAGGCATTGTGAAGCTTTGGGAGTTGAATGTGTCCCTTTGTATGTAGCTTAAAAAGTCTAGCCCTTAAATGTGACTTCATGGTGAAGAGTGTTCCCTGAGGAAGGGTGCATGCTTGTTGATCTATATCTCAACAGCATGCAAGTTACTGCCAGGATAACTAAACTTTGTGGTGTCCCAGATGGTACAAATGATGTACAATTTCTTTTTTTTTGGGGGGGGGTCCGGTCATGGGGCCTGAACTCTGGGCCTGGGTGCTGTCCCTCAGCTCTTCAGCTCAAGGCTAGCGCTCTACCACTTGAGCCACAGCACCACTTCCGGCTTTTTTCTTTTTGCTTATGTGGTGCTGAGGAATCGAACCCAGGGCCTCAAGCATGCAAGGCAAGCACTCTACCACTGAGCCACCTTCCCAGCCCCGATGATGTACAATTTCTATAACTTTCAGTGGTACCTCCCTTCATTCAGGTAAGATCTTCTGCAGCCAAACCCACAATCTAGCATTCTACTTAGTCTCCTTATAAGTGAACTGAATAGATATCAGGTGTTAATTCTGGGAAAAAAAAACCCAAAAAACAAAAACACAATTCCACAAAAGAAAGCATGCACACATCCTACTAAAAGAGTGATCCTGAGTATAATGAAGGAAACTACTTCCATTCAGTCTAGAATATCAAATCCACCACTCTGAAATGAGCCGTGTTTTAATGGAACATTTCATCTCATTTAAAATGAGTTCCTTTTGGAAAGGTCCAATTGTCATGGCTTAAACAACCGAGAATGATCCATGTAGTGCCAACAATTGTGTGTTTCTAAACTTAAATCAGGAACTTAAAAAGGCTAGTTATTACAAATGATGAAACAACTACAAGGAAACAAGGATTTTTTTTTATATGGCTGTCTTATGGGAAGCTCTCCATTATTGGGAGTCTTGTTGCTACAGGCAGAAGGCTTGGGGGCCACCTTTCTATGAGGTAGAAAACTGCTGGGTGGCTGTCACTGTGGCCACATTCCACATCCCCAGACAATGGCTGGGGGAGAGAGCTGCTGCCACAGCACGAGTCAGCTCAGAGGGCAGCCTAAGCCCTAGAGTGAACCCAGTCCTCTGCCTAGGGCTCACTGGAGTGTGCTGACTGAATAAAGGGTTTATTTACCAGTTGCCCTGTCCCTGGAGGGCTTGTCCTCCTTCTCCTCCCTCTCCAATGTGCTGCTGGAGGATGAGATGCTGGAGGCGGAACAGTTGTCCCTCTCGTTCACCTCCTCGTTTTGTCTCTCTTTCTCACTGAGGGAGGATCTTCTTTCTGGCTCTGGCTCCAGTGCCCGCTCCCCTTCGCTCTCTGCTCCCCCTGGGGCCAAGGCTATGTCCTGGCTGGCTTCATCTGCAACCTGCCCCGCCTCTGCCTCCGGTTCAGGCTCAGGATCCCCAGGACTCACTGGTAGAGACAAGAGTAGAGATTATATTGACAACAGGGATTTCTTGGGGGTTTCTGTAAAAGGTAAGCATGGATTTGAGGTTGATTTCTCTACACTGTTCAGTGATGTGCAGAAGTCTAAAGATGGCCCTGGTTATTCATTCAAATACTAATGGAAGTTCCTTTGTGAAGGGATTGTGCAGATGGCAACAGAAGTATCACGTCAGCTGACTTTAAAATATGGACATTGAATTAAGTAGGGCTCCATTTAATCAAACAAGCTGATTTTTATGGTGGTACTGGGATTTGAATTCAGGACCTCATATTTGCAAGGTAGGAGCTCTACCATGTGAGCCACTCTGCCATCCCTTTCTCATTAGTTAATTTTGTGTAGCCCTCAGTTTAAACCCAGGCCAGTTTGAAGTACAATCACCGAATTGAGCTTCTCTACATAGTTGGGATGACAGGTACCACCACCATCACCACCACACTCAGTCAAACTGGCCTCAAACCAAGATTCCTGATCTCTACCTACTAAATAGCTAGGATTGCAAGCATAAGCCATCAAGTTTGGCTCATACAAGTTTTTTTGTTTGTTTGGGTTTTTGTTTTTGTTTTTTTTTAAATCAGGTAGGTAGGTAGGTAGGTAGGTAGATAGATAGGTAGATAGATAGATAGATAGATAGATAGATAGATAGATAGATAGATAGATAGATAGATCAGAGATAGATAGATCAGAGAGAGAGAAAGAGGGGAGAGAGAGAGAAGAGAGAAAGAGGAGAGGGGGGGGAGAATTTGGCAGTCCAGGAGTAATTCTCCACAATTGCTGGGTACCAGTGGCTATATCTATAATTCTAGTTGCTCAAGAAGCTGAGACCAGAGATTGTGTTTGAAGCCAGCCCAAGCAGAAAAGTTTACAAGACTCCAACTCTAACATAACTAGCAAAGACTAGGCTCAAAATGTGGCTCAAGTGGTAGACTCTCAGCTGAGTAAGCAAGCTAACCAAGTTGGGGTCCTAAGTTCAAATTCTAGTATTGGCAAAAACAAAACAAAACAAAACAGAAATCAGAGATGTCCAGTTAGCAACAGAATTGGAAATTTGAGCGTTTCATAGCACGAGAAGGTTTCCACACATATTCCTGGCTTTCAAGATGGAGAAGGCCATGTGACAGAAATGTAGGTGGCCTTTGGAAACCGAGAATGAATCCTGCTGACAGCCAACAAGAAACAGACACGTAGTTCGTATGTACAAACAACTAGGTTCTGCCCACATCGTGAGTGAGACTCTTCCATGGCCTCCTGATCACAGCCCACCTGGCCACAAGTCTGGTTTGGGCCTCGTGACATCCAGGATCAAGGACCCAGTTAAGCCATGCTTGACTTCTGACCTAGGAAAACTGGGAAACAATAAATGGGGGCTGTTTTCAATCACTACATTTGTGGTAACTTGTTATACAACAATAAAAAAAATGACTACGTGATCCTTTTGCCTCTTTAGGAAATGAGAACACAATCCTCAGTGAGTCAAACTAAGAGGCAGGAATGGTCTAATGCTTTCCAAAATTAGTGGCTAAACCATTGAGACCTATTACCCTTTGCTTGGATTATGACTGCTCATAATATGGAGTTAGTCTGTGATCTGAAAAACTATTCAAAAGACTCACAGGCACAGGACTCAAGACTGCAGATTTGATGCTTGCACTGAGGCTAAATGCTCCCATTCTCACCTATGTGTTGCTCCAGGAAAACAGAGAAATAGCTCAGTCTGTCTTATGCATTTTTTGTTGTTTTGTTTTTGTTTTTGCTATGAAAGTCTCTGAGTTATAAGTTTGGGATAGAAAAATGAGAATGCAAAATCCTCCATGTCCGCTGATGTATGTACAGGCCAGAAGAGGACAGATCAGTCCTGCAAGTGTTACATTCATGCTGGGCAAGGCCACAATGCTGGAATCCTAGCACTGTGCTCAGGTCCTAGGCATACATTGCTCAAAGTGATGGAGGAGTTCAAGTCAGGAGTTCAAGTCAGATCAGGAGCTGCAATGGGCCTATTTAAATCCTATAATCACAAGCAGATCAGGCAGCTTGCTCTGTCTACAGTGGCTCAGGCATGAAGATGAAGTATACAGAGATTGCCTCTGAGCCCCTCAGTAAGACTAGAGCTTTACCACATAGAAGCAAACCTCAGACCTCACTGGGCCACATGCCCAGCTGTCCCCAGTTTCCCAACAAGAAGTCATTGTGCTTGGACTCATTGAGGGCAGCCTCACACCCCATCTACTCTCAGGCTGCCTTCCTCTGAGAAAAAAGTAGGAAGGTGAAGAAGGATGAAAGCAATGCAGAGGATGAACACCATTCTTTCCTTGTGGTCCTACATAGTTTCTAACCTCTACATACTAGAAACCTTGGTGGGAAGCCCCAGTGACTTTCTGGTAGGACTTGGGGGCAAGGGGTGAAGAACAGAGGTCCTTCCTTTTGCCTATCTGGAGCTTAATTTCACATTGTGCATCTTCCCTGGGGACTCTAACTTAGCACAAGAGCTCACTTCTGGAGACTGTGTGTATTGGGGGGGGGGGGTCCGTGTAGCAAAGGCCTTCGGCCCCCTAAGGACTATCCTTAGAGTGAGGGTTTTAGGAACAGGTGATGTAAGCTCAGTTTCCAGACAAAGATGCAGGGCTGGCAGTACCAGGAAGACGCTAAAGTCCACATGCCTGAGAATGAGCATGTCATGTGCTTTTCCTTACAAACAAAAACTGGGGAAGATTAAGCAAGCCTTTCAGAAAAGTTCCCTTTCTGTAGAAGCAATTTTTAGGGCAATTTCTTTTTCATTTGATAATACAGTATTTAGTAAAGAGATACAAAACCCCATTAGCTTTACAAGCAGAGCTTGAGCGATGGCAGTGTCATCACTGGGTTGACAGAAAGCATATGTGTTTGCATATACTTATTTCAGAATAGCCACATCAAAACGAAAATGTGAGTCCGACAGCCTAGCATGTGGCACACATGTGACTTTTCATGGGCAAGCATCTGAAGAACACTGGCAAGGGTGCCTCCCGGTGGCTTCATTGCAGGCAGGAAGGGACAAGACTACTCACCACCTGAGGAATCTAGACAGGCAAGTAGGGAGGATCCATGACTGATGGCTGCTGGACTTCAGCCCACCATGGACCACTTAACACACAGGACTCAGACAATAATTTCTTCCCCCCTGCCCTGCCCCAAACCGGACAGGCCAAGGGTTTCCTATACAGGTATGCTAATGAATTGATGAGTTTTGGGAAAGGACTTACTCTTGGGAACTGACTATTCAACATCATCTCAAAATGGTAGTGTGTAATTTCAAGGAATTGGACATGTAAGTTTGTGACTCCATATACTTGATTTCTTTTTCTCTAACTGCTAGGGAGAGGGTGGTCTCCAGTGTCTATAGAACACTGCAGCATATGAGGTGGTCGTAATGATGAACAGATGAAATAAATGATCACATGCATTCAAGTCAAGCAAAATAAGCAGAGTGACAGTGAAGGTGATCAGCAAGGGCAAACAGAGATAGTAGCATGTTACTACTAGCATGTTGCTAAGGCAACACCGATGTCCTCACACTCATACACCTATGTCTCTGCCTTAGAAGAGCTTGCCATGTTCAAAGAACACAAGACACAAAGCCCTATCTGAGCCAGGCATGATGGTTCATGCTTGTAATCACAGCTACTTAGAAGGCAGACCGGCAGGAGGATCATGAGTTCAAGCTCATCCCAAACAAGTTAGGGAGACCTTATCTCAAAAACAAAATAGAAACAAAAGAGCTAGGGTGTGGTTCAAGTGGTAGAGTATTTGCTTGGTCTGCAGAAGGCCCTGAGTCCAAAGCCCTATAGCAAAAAACAAACTCAACAAAAATAAAGCCAACAGCAACAATGCATCGGCAGGGATCATGCAGGATACCAGTGGTGCCCAATGGAAGGCACTGGGTACAGTGACAGGCAGACCTGCAGGGAAGAGCCAGGCTTCACAGTAGAGCCCTTCTTTAGTTGGCTTAATTTAACACAGGTACAAGAACAAGAACAAAAGTTCCCAGATGACCTCACTGTACCTTCTTCTCCTATGTGATGGCCCCTAGCATGACCCTGGGGCTAGATTGGCTCCCCAAATTCCTATCAGTTCTGAACAATAGGAAGCACCAGAATAGCTCTGAGATTACAATAATGTTCTGGAATGTTCTTCCTCCTCTTTCCTATTCTCTTTTATTAGGACTTTTCTTACCAATACTCTTTTACATACATACACACACATACACAATTTCTTTTTAATCTCTCTTTCTAAACTAGGCTCTATGGCTGTGGCTCTGTGGACATATTTAGGAAAAGTATTATTACCCCTTGGAATTTCCAGGACACAGAAGGAACCATGTAACTCTGTTGTTTAAAGAAAGCTAAGATCTCTGTCAATGTATAGGGGAAAAACAAGGTTTACAACACTTGGTTTCTACTGAACCCAATAGTAAATTAACCTTTCTCCAGCCCAACAATGGTGTCACACATAGCAGTGCTCTAAAGAGTCCTTACTCTGGCATCATGGAGGTTCCAGTGGGACAGAAAGAAGAAACCCTGAACACCTGGCCAATACTTTTGCCTGGCAAAGGCAGCTGAGCCCAACCGCCCATGAACATAAGGACATCTCATCCTATTAGCTCCCATCATTCACAATATAAAAACATTTATCAAGGTGATCTATGTCATGAGATCAAACACATGGTGCCCTGGAAAGGCGCAGAACAAGCCCAGAGGGGACACATACATCTCTATATCAAAAGACATTTAAGTAGAGTCTCTAAACATGAGGAGCTGAAGGGGGGGAAAGTTGCTGTGAGAATATTCTGGGCAGAAGGAAGAGCACGTGTGGAGACCTGGACTATGCAACATGCAGAGGATATGAAAGATGTCTCATCTTGCTGGAGCTAAGTGCGAAAGAGATGAAGCTCATCGGAAACTGGGATAGCGGATCTTGTATGGGAAGAGAAGGG